AAGTGGTACTTTATACGGTTCATAAGTGTGGATAAAACTTTAATTAAAAGGTGATTCTGGTTAAAAAATATTCCTCATGCATCAAGAAATCATAATCCATATTTATTTCATGTTTATCTATCACCAGTTTCTAATGATATAGAATAAATCACAAAACGTCAAAATTGGACGATTTTTCTTAATAAAATCAACAATAACGTAAGAACTAAAACTGATGGAGAAAGACGTTATCAATAAAAATCACTCCTAATGCATCAAGAAATCATAATCCATAATTATTTCATGTTTATCTATCACCAGTTTTTAATGATATAGACTAAATCACAAAATGTCAAAATAGGACGATTTTTCTTAATAAAATCAACAATAACGTAAGAACTAAAACCGATGGTGAAAAACGTTATGAATAAGAAATATTCCTCATGCATCAAGAAATCATAATCTATAATTATTTCATGTTTATCTATCACCAGTTTCTAATGATACAGAATAAATCACAAAATGTCTAAATTGGAAGATGTTTCTTAATAAAATCAAGTATAACGTAAGAACTAAAACTCATGCAGAAAAACCTTCTGAATAAAAAATATTCCTCATGCATCAAGAAATCATAATACATAATTATTTCATGTTTACTTATCATCAATTTCTAATGATACAGAATAAATCACAAAATGTCTAAATTGGACGATGTTTCTTAATAAAATCAAGTATAACGTAAGAACTAAAACTGATGCAGAAAAACCTTCTGAATAAAAAATATTCCTCATGCATCAAGAAATCATAATACATAATTATTTCATGTTTACTTATCATCAGTTTCTAATGATACAGAATAAATCACAAAATGTCTAAATTGGACGATGTTTCTTAATAAAATCAAGTATAACGTAAGAACTAAAACTCATGCAGAAAAACCTTCTGAATAAAAAATATTCCTCATGCATCAAGAAATCATAATACATAATTATTTCATGTTTACTTATCATCAGTTTCTAATGATACAGAATAAATCACAAAATGTCTAAATTGGACGATGTTTCTTAATAAAATCAAGTATAACGTAAGAACTAAAACTCATGCAGAAAAACCTTCTGAATAAAAAATATTCCTCATGCATCAAGAAATCATAATACATAATTATTTCATGTTTACTTATCATCAGTTTCTAATGATACAGAATAAATCACAAAATGTCTAAATTGGACGATGTTTCTTAATAAAATCAAGTATAACGTAAGAACTAAAACTCATGCAGAAAAACCTTCTGAATAAAAAATATTCCTCATGCATCAAGAAATCATAATACATAATTATTTCATGTTTACTTATCATCAATTTCTAATGATACAGAATAAATCACAAAATGTCTAAATTGGACGATGTTTCTTAATAAAATCAAGTATAACGTAAGAACTAAAACTGATGGAGATTTACGATATCAATAAAAAATATTCCTAACGCATTAAGAAATCATAATCCATACTTATTTCATATTTATCTATTACCACTTTGTAATGATACAGAATAAATCCCTAAACTGCACTAACATTTATATTTAAACTAGCTGTACACTGAGGGAAATTATTCTTGACTTTCAAGAAAAATTTATTCTTGAATGTATTTCTTAGAAACAAGTATAAATAAGATACTCTTAAAACAAAAATATTTTTTTGTTTTAAGAATAGAAATATTATCGAATGAAATGTCTCATATTCTTAGCATCGAAGAATATCAATTCTTTGTATCAAAAAATTCATTCTTGGGTCAATAATTTATAATACTCAAATGAAGAATAATACAAGATTGTTGTTACATTAATAAGTTTTTCTAAAAAGAAAGATACGTTATTCTTGACATAAGAAATTTATTCTCGATACGAAAATGGGATTGTTGACGCAACACTAAGATATTCCTTTTAAAATGATCGATTTACTTTCACTAAGAATTCGTTTTCTTGAGAATCGAGAATATTTGTATACTTGCTTTGAGAATATGTGGTTTTTCTTCACTTAACAAAATGATCTTCTTGTGGATATACAAGAATATGATAAGCTTGTGCCAAGAGTAATAATCTTCGTTCAAGAATATATTTCCCTCAGTGTACCCTGCGCGCGTTGCTACGCCACCAACTAAAATAAATTTGAAGAAAAGACATTACGCAAATATTCAATTCATTTTGAGTCATTTTATTGATTTCGAGAATTGTCGAAAATTGGTCGTACGAACTTAGAAACCTTCGTGGGCTCATGCACAACAACTTTGCTAAAGATCATCACATGATCAAATGCATAGTTTACGATTCTATAAAGGACATACAGACAAAGATTCATTTTTATATACAGGGTGATTTATAACATACGGAGGAGACTAAATGGGTAGGTACTTGACGTCAAACTGAAGAGATTTTCTTAATAATGTTTTGTTAAAATCTTAATAGTTACATAGATATCGCATGTTAATTTTTTAAATAAGTTAGCGTCAACCTTTGAGAACCGCTGATATTCACTAAAGAACAATTAAAATACTTGTCAACGCCATCCTCATTTTTGAAGGAGCTGTCAAAGTAGTAATTGTTTAGTTTTAATACGTAATTTATGAAAAGAAATAATAGATGTTGATTTATGAAACGGATAATAATAATGTTTTAAATGCAAAATTACAAAATCTCTAAAACAAGAAAATAACATAATAATAATCTCTTTATAACATATGTTCAAAGTGCTGTCCTTGCATTTCGACGCACAACTGCGCACGACGAATCCAATTTAACGATAAACGTGGAAATCGTGGACGTATGTCCTCTGTAGCGGCAGTGATGCGATGTCGTAGTTCGTCAATTGTATTAACCTCGGTGGCATATACTCTATCCTTCATGAATCCCCATAAAAAAAGTCCAATGGGTTAAGATCGGGACTACGTGGTGGCCATGGAATAGGTCCACCTCGACCAATCCATTTTTGCCGAAAAGCATTATCGAGGAAATCTCGTACATTACGACTAAAATGTGCAGGACAACCGTCGTGCATAAACCACATCTCACGTCGCATAAGTAGCGGAATATCTTCCAGGAGTACTGGCAGATTTTCTTGTAAAAACTGTAAATAAGAAGTTCCATTAAGAGTTCCTGGTAATTCGAAAGGTCCTATTAACGTATTGTTCACAATTCCCGCCCATAGATTCACTCTGAATCGTTGTTGAAAAGAGCCTTGACGAATAACGTGTGGATTTTCGTCCGACCACACATGGGAATTGTGAACATTTAGAACACCATTTCTGGTAAAACAGCATTCATCCGTTACCAGTATACTGTCCGCAAAATCTGCTTCTCTGTTGGTACGATTTAGTAGCCACTCGCAAAATTGCAACCGCAAAGGATAGTCAGCGGGAGTCAGTCCTTGCACTTTTTGAAAATGATAGGGGTGTAAACCGTTACTTTTCAACGTACGCCAAACAAAATTCTGGGATACCTCGAGTTGGTGAGAAATTTGACGAGTACTCGTGCTTCGATCCGCTTCCACAATTTCTAGAATTTCTTCTTCCACATTCACTCCATGTCTGTTTAGTCTACCGCCACCAAGACCTTTCTTAGGTTGCAAATTTCCTGTCTCTCTTCCCCGCTGGATTAACCGAAGAAAAGTGTTTTCAGAAGGGATCTGTCGATTTGGATATCGTTCTAAATACAGACGTCTTGCGTGTGCAGCGTTTTCTC